TTTTCCCCTGGGCGGGTTGGGTCTGTGGAGGGGCGGCACGGCACAGCTGCAGCCAGCCCCGGGGAGGCTCGGCTTGGGGCTTTGGCCAGCCCGGCTGGAGCTCCTCTGGGTGTGTATGGGGGGAGGCTCAAGGCTCTGGCCAGGGCTCCTCCAGGCACCGGGGGCACTCTGGGCTGCAGCTGGCCTGAGGCTCCTCTAGCTGAGGGGGAGGGAAGGAGTGCAGGGGGTCTTGTAGCTCCAGCCATAGGGAGGGTGTAGGCGGAAGGGGCGGAGCTGGGGTGTAGGCTCCCCAGAGCGGGGCTCCACCCGCCGCCCATGCCTATGGCTGTGGTACAGACGCTCTTGGGGTGAGAATGCAGAACTAAAACTGATTCTAAGGGTACATCTACAATGCACACTCCGTATGGTGCTATGTAGAGTCCGTACACTGCACGCCCTCCGGCACGGGTATAAATGGCAGCATAGACGGCGAGGAACTACTTAGGTGGGTAGAGTAAAGACACGCCTGAACCCTGTGAATATGTATATGGCTCTCTACTTGCCCAAGCAGTGCCTTCCCCTGTCTACACTGCTATTTTTAGCAGTATAGTGTCTCCTGGCCTCACCGCTGCCGGAGCCTGTCCACACTGCAGTGACAGACTCTGTACGCAGGCAAAAACTCTAGAAGGAGGAGACAGTGGGGAAAGGCTTCAGCCAGCTGCTGGAACCTTTCCCCGCTGCTGGGAGGTAGGCGGAGGAGCGGAGACACGGCGCGCTCAGGGGGAGGAGGAAGTGAAGTGGGGTGGGGGGGAGGTTGGCTGCCGGTGGGTGCAGAGCACCCACTAATTTTTCCCCATGGGTGCTCCGGGGCTGGAGCACCCACAGAGTTGGCGCTTATGCCCTGAGGCTAAGAACTGTGCTACTGCTCAATTCCAGTCACTAGCAAGACAGTTCATGGGTCCACTTGTTATTGTTACAGTTAAAAAGATGAATTGGGTTCAGAATTCTTATTCAAGATGGAGTTAGAAACAGGCAATTGGGAGAAACTACTTGCTTTTAAAAAAGAAAAAACTGTCTTGTACTTCTGTACCAGATATGGACTGGCTACAGAGCTTGCTTATACACACCGGATGTGTTCATCTTAAGAGCCTTTAATGCTCTGCCAGGTATGGCTCAGGTTAGCTTAAATAAGGTATTTTACAGAGTGGCACCTAGCAGCTGAACAGTACAGTAGCGCGGGGTGGCCAACCTGAGCCTGAGAAGGAGCCAGAATTTACCAACGTACATTGCCAAAGTAATATGTCAGCAGCTCCCCCATCAGCTCCACCCCCAACCCCTTCCCACTCCCAGCGCCTCCCGCCCACCGGCAGCCCTGCGAATCTGCGCCTCCCCCTCCCTCCCCACACCTCCTGATCAGCTGTTTCATTGCATGCAGGAGGCTCTGGGAGGGAGGGGGAGGAGCAAGGGCACAGCAGGCTCAGGGGACAGGGCAGGAAGGGGTGGAGTGGGGGCAGGGCCTGTGGCAGAGCCAGAGGTTGAGCAGTGAGCACCCCCCGGCACACTGGAAAGTTGGCGCCTGTAGCTCCAGCCCCGGAGTCAGTGCCTATACAAGGAGCCGCATATTAACTTCTGAAGAGCCACATGTGGCTCCAGAGCCACAGGTTGACCGCCCCTGCACTAGCGTTTAGCATCCACTGCACAAAACAGACATGTTGGTCAGTCCTGCTTCAAATAATTAGCAAAGCTAGTCAACATTTTTAATTTCCCCCCCGTCATTATGGAGAGGATCAACATTTTTTGTATTGGGGGGTAGCCGTGTTGGTTTTGTGGGTACAGACTAACAAGGAGTCCCGTGGCACCTTAAAGACTAACAGATTTTTTGGGGCATATTTTGAATATTTTTTAAAATAAAAAAGGGTGGGAGAGGATATGGAAAAAAAAGAAAATTAACCAGCTCTAATAATTAGAAAGGGTGAATTTCCCATTTCCTGAGTTAGGGCCTGATATGTCCAGTCCATTTTTTTGTGGTTTTTCCTTTGGACCTCAAATTGTTCTATCCTGTGCAAGTGTCTAGACTCTCTGATATATTTTTCGATGTGTGCTTTAAAATCCTCACTAACCTCATAATACATAGTTGCTCATTATTTATTATTTACGTGATGCAAAATAATTGTGGTCTCTTGGCATTTGTAATCCAACAAGTACAATTTTGGATATGTCAATAATATTTACTACATGACTAAACAATTCTCCCCATGTGGTTTTTCATATTGCGTACACCTGCAGCCTCACCTCTTGATTTAAAACAGAAATAATCTTTTACTGTATGTGTATGCAAATCCAAACAGGAAATGATACCACAATGTTTAAAAACACAGAAGTGTGTAACTAAAAAAGAAACAATCAAAATGCAAAGCAGCAAAGATCTTCCCAAGATCACTGAACAAAGTTGAACACAGCATCTGAGGTGAGGCATGATGGAAATCAATAACTGCATCTAGTTTTTCTTTTAACGAAAGGAAAAGGAAGGAGAAAAACAACTGGAAGGACAAGAGAAAGCTGTTAGCAAGAGAAAGGAACAAGAACAAATATTTCCTGTTTATTTTAAAGTGCAATAATATCCACCAATTACATGAAGAATTATGGAAAAAGGCTACAAATAAGGGCATTCTGGGTTGGACTGCAGCCATTTCCCATATCATGCTAGCATCTTCCCTTGTGCAGTTTTATCAAAATGGCACCAGAAACTTTTGATCCTATTTATTGGCTTTATATTCACAGTTACTGCTGTGCATTTGTCAGTCTCATGTTAACTACAACGATATTGCGCTATGAATTCCTGAGTTACAGTACAGCATGCTAAGGAATGATTTTGGCATTAATCTAAGAGGAAAACCTTGCATTACTGAGGAAATGGTGCAAGGATGCTACATAGACTTTAAGGTCAGAAGGGACCACCACGATCATCTAGTCTGACCTCCTGCACATCGCAGGCCACAGAACCTCACCCACCCACTCCTGTAATAGACCCCTAACCTCTGGCTGAGTTACTCAAGTCCTCAAATCATGATTTCAAGACTTCAAGTTACAGAGGATCCACCATTTAGACCTGCCAGTCAGGGCCGGCTCCAGCTTTTTTGCTGCCCCAAACGGCGAAGAAAAAAAAAAGGAAAGAAAAGAAAAGCCCGATTGAGCTGCCGCCGAAGGACCCGCCGCTGAATTGCCACCAAACAGGAAGCGAGGGACTGAAGGACCCACCACCGAATTGCTGCTGGAGACCCGAACGTGCCGCCCCAATAACAGACAGAGTGCTGCCCCTTTCTATTGACCGCTCCAGGCACCTGCTTCCTTCGCTGGTGCCGGCCCTGCTGCCAGTGACCCATGCTTCAAAGGAAGGTGAACCCCCAACCCGCCACCCGCTCTGGGTCTCTGCCAATCAGACCCAGGGGAAAATTCCTTCTTGACCCCAAATATGGCAATCAGTTAGATCCTGAGCACGTGGGCAAGACTCACCAGCCAGACACGTGGGAAAGAACTCTCTGTTGTAACTCAGAGCCCTCCCTATCTAGTGGCTCATCACCAGCCATTGGAGATATTTGCTGCAAAGAATCAAATAAGCAATTTATTTTCTGTCACAAAGGTATGAACCATGAGAAGAAAAGCCATAACAGCTGAAGGAACAACTCCACAGCCAGTGGTTTCAGAGTGGATACATTAAGGAACCGCGTGAACTTATAACTATTTGAATGTAATACAAAGCTTTAGTAGAGAGGTCTACCATTTTGACAGTGAGGACAATTAACCATTGGAATAATTTAACCAGGGTAAATTGGTAACTTTTAAAGCAAGCTCGGATGTTTTTCTAAAAGACCTGCTCTAGGAATTATTTTGGGGGTAATTCTATGGCTTGTTGTTATACAGGAGGTCAGACTAGATGATCACAGTGTCCCTTCTGGTCTTGGAATCTATGAATCTACTATGATACAGTATAATAAATACTAATGCAATGCAGTACAGAGCTAGTAAGCTGTTGTGTCAAATCAGCCATAGGAGGTAATGAGGAGCCACGGCAGTGCTTTTTTGTTAACTGTCTGCTCTCACAAAACAGGACACGTACTATGCAGCGGCTCTGTGACAAGAACTAAGAATCATCACCTGGTGAAATGCCTTATACACCTCTGGAAAGTATGTTACATGCTCTAAGTAACGCTAAGCCATCATTTCTTCCAAGCCTTCCCCTGCGCATCACACAGTATGCAATATATACTCTGTCCAGTCTCCCACTGACACCTGTGGAAGGATGACTTAATGCAGGAACAGTTTGTTCTTTTCCAATTCTTTAAAATAGCCATTTTAAAAATGCACACGATTATTTCACATCAGTCAACACCAAGTCTTGACCTGGATCTCCACTACCTGCTCTCCCTGGACAGCAGCCACTGAGATGTGTGTCTTAAGACTTAAATTCTTGTCAGTTTCGTTTTCACCAGGGAAGACGGATGCACAATAGAACTGCTAGGGGCAGCAATACAGGACACAGGGCGCACACTACAGGGCCTTGCAATGTCCTTCTTTGGCTCACAGCTTCATCCAAAATATGGCCTGTCTTTATAATGGAAAAAAACGTTCCCCCTAAGCACATACACAGGAGAGGGGACAGGTATTTAGAAATGTGGTCACCTTAGTGTACGTACTCCCGGGGGGTCTGCCCAGCCAGGATCTTTGGATATTAATCAGTACCTGACAAAGCAATACCCAAAGGTCTTATCGGAACTTTGCCTGAGCTCCCCAGAGGCACAAGGAAGGGCGAGTGGCTCTGACTGCGGGCCAACTACAGCTGTGCTGGGGCCCTGGGGGTGAGACGGGCTAGGGGGCCGGGGCCGGGGCGCGGGCACGGACCGTGCGTCTCTTCCAGGGCAGATCACACAGGCGCTGGTTTCTCTGCCTCCCCGCGCCGCCCCCGATGGGGGAAGCGGCGCTCAGTGGCCGGCCAAGGCAAGGAGCAGCTGCCCGGCTCTTACCCAGACACAGGCGCCGGCGGCCTCCGCCGCCTCCCCTCCGGCCGCAGCTGCACACGCGTCCCGCAGGTAATCGGCGCCCAGAGCCAGTTTAGCGGAGCAGGCGGCCAGCGCCCCCAGCAGGCCGGCCACGGCCGAGTGCGCGGCGCCCCAGCCGGCCAGCATCGCAGCAAGCCGAGCCCGCCGGCCCCGCAGCCTGGAGGAGCCGAAGCCACGTGGTGATGCCGCCGGCTGCTCTTCCGGATCTCTGGCGAGCTCACGTGACGGCTCGCCCCGGCGGCTCGCTCCCCTCGGGGGTCGGTGCTGGCGGAAGCGCCGCGCTGATGCGTCCCCAGGCCGGGGCTAGCGGGAGGATCTGGCCGCATAGAGCCCCCGCCCCCCGAGCTTCACCTGCACCCGCCCCTGTAATGCTCAGCGCCCGCGGGGCTGCCTGTGGGGCCCACGCGCTAAAGCCCTGCTCGGGTGGGAGGCTGCTGTCCCTGCCTGTCTGCCTTCCCAGGCACGGGGGAGCTTTTCCCTTCTCTAGCAAGAGCTCCTCTGGGCGGGAAAGCGTATGCTGCTGCCATACTTCCCCACACGTGGGGCTACGATTAATCATATCAGAGGCATCGGGGCTTGACACCTATTGCTGATGCAGTGTCTGTACCTGTGTTTGATCTGAGACAGTTCCAACCAGTTTCTATCAAGTAGGATAGCACTCTGGGGGGACCCAGCTGTTGAAAGATGTGTCTTCAGTCCTTGCTCATACTGATGGTAAGGCTATGCTTTAGTCAGGGTATTTTTAGTAAAAGTCATGGACAGGTCATGGGCAATACACAAAAATTCAGGGGCTGGCACCCGTCCATGACTTTTACTAAAAATATCCCTGACTAAATCTTAAGGGGGTTGCTGCTGGGGGGGCATCCAGGGGCCACTGCTGGGGGGACATCCAGGGGGGCTGCTGTGGGGGAGCCCAGCCATGGCACCAGCTGCTGGGGGCTGCACCAGCGGCCGGGGGATGCTGCTCAGGCAGTCCCCAGGGCCAGCCGCACTAGCCGCTGCTCAGACAGCTCCTGGCAGCTAGTCCCAGGGACTGCCCGAGGAGCAGCTGATGCGGCTAGCTGCAGAGCCACTCCAGCAGCAGCGGATGTGGCTGGCCCCAGAGCCAGCTGCTAGGGCGGCTCTGGGGTCAGCTACACTGGCCCCCGCAGAAGTCACAGAGCCCTACTGATGAGGAAAATAAATACCTCACTTGAGAAGAGCAGTCCATGTGCTCACGAAACCTACCTTGTCTGACACTGCTCGCTAATTCTAGACTGGACCTTTCTAGGGAAGGTTATAGGAAAAAGTATTGGTGGCTTTTCAACTTGATTCATAATGAGACAATCTGGTTCTGGACCACTTCCAGTCTAGTTTGCTTTATGAAGACTCTGCTAATGTGACAAATCTGTGTTCAGTGGCTGCTGTGGCCTGATGGCCAATGATCAGTCTTGGTCATGCTTCCTTTGTGAGCTTCCATTGGCACTGTTGAACACAGAGTGTTGCTGTTGTAAATAAGGACCATCACACATATTCCAGAATTGTTTCCCAGTGCATCAAGTTATGCCTGGAAGTGGAAGGCAGTGGTAATGGCCTAATAGTACTCACTCATAGGCCACGTTTAATACACCCTAATGCTTTTTTGTGTGTGGCTTGTTTGCATGTTGCTATCATTTTTTTCTTTTTATATACATGGAGACCTTTCAGCCATGCATCAACATTAGACATAGGAAAGACCAATTCAGCTCATCTAACCCATCTACTTCCCTGGGCCATCCCAGGACACTGAAGGTAAGATTATATCCTTATGAAAAGCACAAGGAAGTCTTTACTGACCACAAGTCATTACGATATTGGTTTAACAGCTAATGCAAAAAGTGACAACTTCAACAGCACAAGGTGAGCATTGAGCACCACCTACCTACTTACCTGCAGCACTGAATTTTTCCTGGAGAGCTACTGTCAAGGTCCTGTTCTGTTTAGCTTGCGAAATGAGAGGATCACAACCTGAGGTGGTAGGTTTACTGGCCAGAATAACCACAGTCAATTCTATGGAGGTCTTAAAACAAAAACATAGCCCCAGCTCATTTCCCCAGCTCTCAAAACAGAAATTCCCCTCTGTGTGCAGATGTAACAGCTCTTCCTTGAAATGGAGCTCAGCTATCCGCTCTCTGTTCTGAGGCTGAAAGGGGAGAAGGGGCATTGTTCCCCCATCAGCTCTGTGAGGGCACTGCAGAACACTTCCTTTAAAGGGGGATCCAAGGAGAGCTACAGTCAGATGTGGCTCTGGTAGAGCAGCTCCAATGAGGCTGGACTGCCAAGAAGTGGAGGACAGGAGCTGCTGGAATGCGTATGGGTGCAGAAGGTCTTCACCCAGCTGGTCCTCACCTCCTGCAGACTCCAGAGGATCTGCTGAGTTCTGCAGTGGAACCACAACTCATTCAGCTGAGGAGCACAGGTAGGTAAACCTTGCCACCCTCAGAATGAGTTGGAGCCATAGTTTGGGGGAACCTCCATGAGAAGATTCTGTAACAGAGATGCCAGCCCTCCCTAATGTCCCATAATTCTCCCAGTTTCTACATGTAGTTACGAAATTACTAATTGAGTCTCAGATCTATTAATTTTGCAAGGGCACACACATTTTATATACATAAAATATATATAAAGAAAATGTGTGTCAATTGTCACCCCTTGGGTACAACAGCAAATAGTGCCACAGGAGGCCGCTTTCTCCACTGCCACTCTGGTACATGCACAGAGAGGCTCTGATAGGAGGCAAGCTATGGCAATCTTGAATGAGTTGGGGCACCGCTGGATTCACCACCCAAATCACAGGCTGTGTGTTGCGCTCTAACTGCCCCAGGTGGACCCTGCTGGACTATGTTAACACGCTGTAGGTACCAAGTGCCCCAACCCCTGCTGACACTCACCAGTTTGCCTCTGGCTCAGCTCACACTGCACAGACTGCAGAGGAGGAGGAGAAGAAGCTCGAGGGGCAGGAGGAGCGGCGGTGGCGAAGAGCGGGAACGAAATAGAGGAGGGAGAAGAGATGGATCATCCCGGGAAGGAGGGCCCAGGCCCGGCCATGGTAATTAAAAAAAGGAGTACTTGTGGCACCTTGGAGACTAACAAATTTATTTGAGCATAAGGTTTTGTGGGCTACAGCCCACTTCTTGGGATGCATAAGAAGAAGTGGGCTGTAGCCCACGAAAGCTTATGCTGAAATAAATTTGGTAGTCTCTAAGGTGCCACAAGTACTCCTGTTCTTTTTGCGGATACAGACTAACACGGCTGCTACTCTGAAACCCATGGTAATTAAGGGCACTCAGTGGCATAGAAGGGCAGCTTTCCCAGGGCTGCTCATCCCTAGTGTCCCTGTTTGAGGGTGAGAGGGATCAGGGGTGCAGTAAGGAGGGGGTAGGTCCCCCCTTGGCCATAGTTGGGGAGGGGAGGAGCAAGAGGTCCCCGTTTCTCCAGCAGGAGGGGAAATGGGTTGAGAAAGGGCCATGCAACCTCCCTAATTTTCTTCATAAACATCCCTAGACGGGGGTGTGCGCAAGGGGAAGGCAAGCAGGGGCACGGCCCCACCAATAATCGGCAGTGGATGCAGAACTCCTCCTGCCCGGGGCTGTGGCAGGGAGAGCGAGAGAGCTCTGCCCACCGCAGCCCTGGGGCTGAGGAGTTCTGCGCCCCTACCTGGGACCCCAGGGATGGAGAATTTCTGCATTCTCCACTGGGCCCTGGTGCCAAGCTCACTCTCCCCGCTGCAGCCCCAGGGTGGGAGGAGTTCTGGGCTCCGCACCTGGGCCCTATGTCTGGAGGAGCTCTCTTTCCCCCCTCCCCCCCATTTTCTACTATGTTTTTTTCTCCTAACATGCAGTGCGCAAACTCAGTGAGGTCATACATGTAACCCCATAACATGAGGTTATGGATGCACATGTGCCTACTTGGTTTGCATATGTTCTCCCCATAAGGTTAAGGAACCTGTATTCCAGGTGCATTAAAGGTACAGTTCATTGAAATGGTGAATATACTGCTGTTTGTTTATTGGCATATGATGTATGTGCATGTGTTGACAGGGTGTAATGTGTATAAAATGTGTGTGTTTAATGTGCCCGCTGAAAAGCAGTAAAATTTAAATTCCCGCACACGCCCCTGTCCCTAGAAGTCTCAGAGCAAGGTTGGCATCTCTGTTTGTCTGTTCAGCTTTGCTGAAGGAATGATACACCGAATCTAACTTGTGTATAGAAATGGGTGAAAAATGCTGAGTAGTTTTCATGGAAAAAATTGTCAATTTTGAAAAGAAATTTTTTTTTTTTTGCAAACCAGTTCTGTATTGTGAACTGAGAGCTCTAGATGAAAGATCACTTCCTACTTCTGCAATCCAAACTATTGCCTAGGAGGAGCCTCCCCAGATACAGAGAGCGGGTAGGTTATCTAGGCAGCATCTGAATGGTTTAGAATATTTGAAAACACAAATCTGAGGTGGATGGAAATATTTAATTCTTTAATAAGTATAACATCTATTGAAAGCACAAAATCGAGTTACAAATAGCAAAACAGAACATTTTTAAATGCCTAAATTCCTTAACTGCATAGAACAGCTGCTTAACAAGACCCACAGATGTATATAAAATATAGGAGTACTTTACCCAGCTGTCTTATCCCTATCCCTGATATAGTAAACATTTGTGCTGAAAGATCTAACATTTTTCACTGTATCATGTACCCAGAAAGCTGTATAACTCATTTATTTAAAAACACATTGTTGGTGGAATAGATCACTACCATAGGCTAATCAGTATTTTTATGTATCAGAGGGGTAGCCGTGTTAGTCTGAATCTGTAAAAAAGCAACAGAGGGTCCTGTGGCACCTTTAAGACTAACAGAAGTATTGGAGCATAAGCTTTCGTGGGTGAATGAAGTGGGCATTCCCCCACGAAAGCTTATGCTCCAA